CTGGGATTAAAGGCGTGGGCCACCAACGCCCAGCCAGGTTCTCTTTTATAAGAGTTGCCTTGGTTATGTACTGCTGTGTGTGTATGCGCGCGCGCGTGTGTGTTTGCGCGTGCGCGCACTTGCGCACACACTCTCAGAGGCCAGAGGCATCAGATCCTCCTGGAACTGATGTCTGATGTGGGTGCTGGGAACCAAACACAGGTCCTATGGGAGAATAGTGTGCATTCTTTTTTTTCTAAGATGTATTTATTTTCATTCTATGTGTATGGGGTTTTTGTCTGCAGGCATGGCGGTGTAGCATGTGTGTGCAGTGCCCAAGGAGGCCAGAAGAGGGCACTGAGTTCCCTGGAACTGGAGCTACAGATGGTGTGAGCCACCCCGTGGGTATTGAGAATTGAACCCAGGTCCTCTGGAAGAGAAGTCAGGGCTCTTAACCACTGAGCTGTCTCTCCAGCTCCTCAGGAGGACGCTCTTAACTGTCGGGTTGTCTGTTCAGCTCACACACACACATTTCATTCTAAAGACATCATAAACAGTAGATTCTAAGACCACCCTACTCTGTCTTCACCTGGATACTTCTCCAAGCCCCTATTTTCCCACACTGTTTCCACATATTCCAATGCATGGGGTTGGAGGTGAGAAAACTCTGTCTCCAGTACATTCGTATACACCAAGGGGCAGCACTAGGGGCAGAGGCCAGGGCTCCAGGCAAGCTAGGCAAATTCTACCACTGAACAACAGACCCAGGATGGTTTTGAAAAAAAAAAAATTAAAGTGTATGAGTGTATGTGTCTGCACCATGTGATGTGTGTGCAGTACCCAGAGCAGCCAGAAGGGGGCGTGGGTATCCTGGAACTGGAGTTGCAGACAGTTGTGGGCTGACATGTGGGTGCCGGGAATCAAACCGTGGTCCTTTGGAAGAGCAGTCAGCGCTCTTACACACTGTGCCATCTCTGCAGCCCCCCCTTGTGCTTTCTCTCTTGAGACAGGATCTTGCCAAGTTGTCCAGGCTGCCCTTGAACTCATTCTGTAGCCCAGGCTGGCCCCAGGGTTTACATTTTCAGACCTTGCGTTACTGGCACTTGTGGGTAGCCCCTCATCTTCACGGCAGCCTCTCAGATCTTCAGGGTGAGCGAAGGCCGCAGGTCCTGTGTCCCTCTCCTGCAGCAGGTCCCCTGCTTTCTTTCCATTTCTCGTTCCTCCAAGACCTCCATTAGCATCTCTTTCCCTATTGCCTAGCAGGAGTCATTAACCAGTTGTGAAATCAATTTGGTGGATTGCAAACCTGATTTTTCCATTAATGAAATGCAATTAAATAGAACATATTAAGGCAAGGACACGGAGTTGGGGTGAGGGCTGTGCTGCGAGATTTTTATATAAATACATTTATTGTGTGTGTGTGTGTGTGTGTGTGTGTGTGAGAGAGAGAGAGAGAGAGAGAGAGAGAGAGAGAGAGAGAGAGAGAGAGAGAGAGAGAATGCTTACCTCAGAGGACAGCCTGTAGGAGTCAATTCTCCCCTTCTACCATGGAGGTCGTGGAGGTCAAATCCAGTCAGTTTTGGCATCTCATCAACCCAGCTCTTATTTTTTTTATTATTTTTAAATTATGCCAGGCATGGTGATGAACTCCTTTAGTCCCAGCTCTCGGGAGGCAGAGGCAGGCAGATCTCTGAGTTTGAAACCTCATGGGGAGTTTCAGAACAGCCAGCGTTATATGATGAGACCCTGTCTAATAAACAAAACAAAACAAAAGGCTGGGCTGTGGTGGTACACGCCTTTAATTCCAGAACTTGGGAGGCAAAGGTAGGAAGAACCCCATTGTTTGGGGCCAGCCTGGTCTACAGAGGGAGTTCCAGGACAACCAGGGCTACATAAAGACACCCTGTCTCAAAAAAACAAAACAAAAACAACAAAATGTATCTCTCTCTCTCTCTCTCTCTCTCTCTCTCTCTCTCTCTCTCTCTCTCTCTCTCTCTCTCTCTCTGTGTGTGTGTGTGTGTGTGTGTAGGGTACACTCAGAGGCCAGAGGCATCAGACCCCCTGGATCTGGAGTTGTCGAACAGTGGTGAACGTGTTGGGAACTGAATGTGTTGGGAACTAAACCCTAGTCCTCTAAACACACAGCAGGCATCTCTCCAGTCCCGGGCCAGGTCTTCTGTTGAAACAGGGCCTTGGTATCCAATCCCAGCACTCTGGAGGCAGAGGTCGGAGGATCAGGGCAACTTTGAGACCAGCCTGGTCTACCGAGTGAGTTCAAGGCCAGCTTGAGCTATTTGGGAAGACCCAAGTTAGAAAGAGGAGGGGGAGAGGAGGAGGAGGAAGATAGAAAACGGAGAAGCGAGAGAGAGAGAGAGAGAGACAGAGAGACAGAGAGACAGAGAGACAGAGAGACAGAGACAGAGAAACAGAGAGGCAGAGAGACAGGCAGACAGAGAGAGAGAGAGAGAGAGAGAGAGAGAGAGAGAGAGAGAGAGAGAGAGAGAGAGAGAGAGAGAGAGAGAGAGAGAATACGCAGGCCGGAGAGAAGTCAATGCCCCAGCCTGCCTTGGAGGTGGCTGCCTAGCTGGGTGCCCTAGGTGCCCTGGGACAGAGAGAACCAAGCTTAAGGTGCCCCCTGGCGGCTGCTTGGAGCACAGTCGGGGCGGACCCTACAGGTCTGGCAGGTTGGGGTGCAAACCTGTCCTGCAGCCTCTCCCTCCAGCCCCGTGCATTCCCGAACTTCCCCCCTTCTGCCACGCCCCTTTCACCTGGTTTGAAATTCCGGGGACTTAAACTGCAACCTAATTCCGCTTACCCGCCGTGGGACCCAGAGCTGCGCTCGGTCGTTCTAGCTTCCCTGTGGGACACAGGGTCACTACGCCCTCTCCGTTCTTAGACGACTCTGCTCTCTGAACTTTGATCCCGCGGTGTGAGCAACCACCGAAACCTTCAGGAAGGGGTGCTGTGCCCCAGAGCCCCTCCCCTCCTGCAGGGCGTGGAGAACCAAGCTTCCAGCACCTTCCTCCTCTGCTTGTCCCCTTTCCACACACCCAGGGTGCAGGCCCAGCCTCCTCCCTTAGACCCAGGGTCCAGGCCCAGCCTCCTCCCTCGGACCCAGGGTCCAGGCCCAGCCTCCTCCCTCGGACCCAGGGTCCAGGCCCAGCCTCCTCCCTCAGACCCAGGGTCCAGGCCCAGCCTCCTCCCTCAGACCCAGGGTCCAGGCCCAGCCTCCTCCCTCAGACCCAGGTGCAGACCCCGCCTCCTCCCTTACACCCAGGGGTCCAGGCCCCGCCTCCTCCCTTACACCCAGGGGTGCACACCCCGCCTCCTCCCTTACACCCAGGGGTGCACACCCAGCCTCCTCCCTCAGACTCTGCAATCAGGCTCCTTTAGGGTGGCAAGTGACCTGCAGCCCCTCCCTTTCTCCGGAACACGCCCCTTGCTCCCTCCGGGGTCCGCCCCCACCTGGGGCCTCACCCGGCCTCGCCCCTCCGTCCCAGGGCACCCAGAGACCATGGCTGCGGCGGCCTCGCCGCGAGGGAGGCAGTGGGGGGAGCCACGGGCGCTCGGCCGCGCGGTGAAGTTGCTGCAGCGCCTGGAGGAGCAATGCCGGGACCCCAGGCTGGCCATGGGGCCCCCGTCGCTGCGGCACCTGCTGCCCCGCACCGCCCAGCTCATCCGAGAGGTGGCGAAAGCCCGGCGCGAGGCCCCGGGAGGCCCCGAGGGTCCCGGCGGCGCTGCGGATTTTCTGGTCGTCTACCTGGCCAACCTGGAGGCCAAAGGCAGGAAGGTGGCCGAGCTGCTGCCCCCCAGAGGCAGGAAGGATGCCAACGAGGAGGTCTTCCGGGAGGGCTCCAGATTCAGGTGAGCACCGGCCTGCCTGGGACACAAGTCAGACACCAGCGACTTCCGGATAGAGCCACCAGACAGCCCCACCCTCAGACCCGGGGTCCAGCCTCCTCCCCCAGACCCGGGGTCCAGCCTCCTCCCCCAGACCCGGGGTCCAGCCTCCTCCCCCAGACCCGGGGTCCAGGCCCAGCCTCCTCCCCCAGACCCGGGGTCCAGGCCCAGCCTCCTCCCCCAGACCCGGGGTCCAGGCCCAGCCTCCTCCCTCAGACCCGGGCTCCAGCCCCAGCCTCCTCCCCAAGACCCGGGCTCCAGCCTCCTCCCTCAGACCCGGGGTCCAGGCCCAGCCTCCTCCCTCGGACCCAGGGGTCCAGGCCCAGCCTCCTCCCCCAGACCCGGGGTCCAGGCCCAGCCTCCTCCCTCAGACCCGGGGTCCAGGCCCAGCCTCCTCCCTCGGACCCAGGAAAACGAAGCACCCATGTTTTCTTCCCTTCAGCACCCACTGGACCAGCCCTCCCTCCCTCTCTCCCTCCCTCCCTCCCTCCCTCCCTCCCTCCCTCTCTCCCTCCCTCCCCCCCTCCCTCCCTCCCTCCCCCCTCCCTCCCTCCTTTGCTGGTCACCTCGTACCTGGGGTCAGGCGTGCCTCTCTCCCGGGGGCCTTAGACACACACCCCACACCCGCCTTGTGAACGTAGGGATCCCAGGGACTTCCTGTTGCGTGTGCTCGCTTCTGGTGCCTGAGCGTCGGCACAGCCCGGGACCTGTATGGTGCCATCGTGCACTTCCGTACCTGAAGCCAAGGCTAGGACCTTGGGCTTGTCTGCTCTCTCTCCTGAGCAAAGGTGTAGGGGCGGATTGGAGCCCGGACCCCAGAGCAAGGTGTAATCGGTGTTCGGGCCGCCTCTAACGCTCGCAGTGGCTTCCCTGGCTTTTAGCAGCCATGAGGAAATAAATCACCTGCCTGTCCGTTAATGTTTAAATTCCCATTATCCCCCAGTTACCACCGATGAAAGGAATACCTCTCAAAATATATGTATATGTGCCGCATGAAATATGCAAATTCAACTTTTATTACATCAGTTTATTTCTCACTGTGCGTGTGTGTGTGCGCGTGTGTGTGCATGTGTGTGTGCGTGTGTGCATGTGTGTGAGTGTGTGTGCGTGCGTGTGTGCGTGTGTGTGCATGTGTGTGAGTGTGTGTGCGTGCGTGTGTATGTGCGTGTGTGTGTGTGTGCGCGCGCGCGCGGGCGCGCGCTGGCCAGGGTCAGGAAGACAGTCGGGCCACTGTGCTTAACAAAATTGTTCCAATTGTTGCCTTATTTTGGTCTACCCTGTTGCAGCCGGGTGTAAACTACAAGCTCTTGCTGGAGGATGGCGGCTTAGAACAGCTGTCCTCAATATGCGGGTCGCCCCGCCGTGGGCTCACTGGCCCTTTTACCGGGATCGCCTAAGAGTATCGGAAAACGCAGATATTTACGTTAGGATCCATGACAGTAGCAAAATTACAGTTTTGAAGTAGCGACGAAACTAATTTTATGGTTGGGGGTCACCGCAGCATGGGGAACTGTACTTAAGGGTCGCGGCATAGGACAGTTGAGCACCACCGACTTACAGGCTAAGAAGCTTGCTCCTCTCAGAGGACCCAGGGTCGCAACACTGGGGATGGATGGCTCACAGTCTCCTGTAACTGCAGCTCCAAGGGACCCGACACCGTCTTTGCCTCCCCAGAAATCCACCTCGTGGGCACATACCTGCACACACACAATTAAAAACAGACCTGAACCTTAAAAAGGAAAAACAGAACCAGTCCGTTACTCTGGGCTGATCAGGGTAGCAGAGGCCTTTGACCCCAGTACTCAGGAGGCATAGACAAGTGGATCTCTGTGAGTTCGAGGCCAGCCTGGTCTACAGAGTGAGTTCTGGGCCAGCTGGGACTACATAATGAGACTCTGTCTCAAAAAGAAAAAAAAAAAAAAAAGAAAGAAAGAAAGGAAGACCAAAAGGAAAGAAAACTGTACTTTCCGGTCTGAACTAGCCAGAGTTGCAGGTGACAACTTCACCGGGCTACACAACCCTACATTTTGGGAAACGAAGTTGCTAAGAAACTGCCCGGAGTCCTGCAGACCTGGCCAAGGAAGCTATTAATATAAATGAAAAATATAATAAAATCGGCATGTACTGAGTGTTAAAACTGTATGATATGCAGGGTTTTGTTTTGTTTTAAGATGCTGGGAATGGAACATGATAACCAGAGGCTCTACTACTGAGCCACGCCCCCAGCCCCTCACTGGGGGATTCTAGGCAGGGGCTCTACCACTGAGCCACACCCCCAGCCCCTCACTGGGGGATTCTAGGCAGGGGCTCTACCACTGAGCCACGCCCCCAGCCCCTCACTGGGGGATTCTAGGCAGGGGCTCTACCACTGAGCCACACCCAGAGTTGTGCCCTCTCTGCTCATAAAACAGGACCAAGCCTCTCTTTGCTCCCCAGTGATTCAGAAGCTATGCTCACCCATTTGTTTCCACTTCGCAGGTGAGAAACCGAGGAGACTTGGAAAAACCTTGTTTAATGATTTTCAATACTTTCATAGCTATTGAGTGTCAGAAAACCCGAGTCCTATATCCTGATCTAAAACCCAAGGCGGCCAATGCGCCCGCTGGTGTGGGAAACAGTACTGGGCATGCGCTGAACACCGACCGCTAATGCTCAGTCCCCACCTTCTCTAGGCGAGGCTTCTCCAGCCGCAGCAGGCTTTGCGCCTGGGTTGTGTTGCTTCGAGGCTAGTCTGGACACTGGTTTCCACCCTTCTTTCTTAGATAGGGGAACTGAGGCTTGGAGAGAAAGCAGCCTCGGGACGGAGCCGGGCGCCCGTGGTGCACAATTCCTCAGAGGGAATCCGGGGCCTGTCGCGACTCTCCCTAGGTCCAGCGATGCTCACAGACTGTTTTCCTGCAGGCGACAGCTGGCCAAGCTGGCCCTCATCTTCAGCCACATGCACGCGGAGCTGAACGCGCTCTTCCCTGGGGGGGAAATACTGTGGGCACCTGTACCAGCTCAGTAAGGCCGCTGCCCACAGCTTCTGGAGGGAGCGCTGTGGAGTCCGGTGAGTCAGCCCTCGTCCCGGGGAAGACGGGTTGCACGTGCCCCTCACCGCCCTACCCAAGGGCCCGCCGTGCGTGTGTGTGTGCGTGTGTGTGCGTGTGTGGTGTGTGTGTGCGTGTGTGTATGTGTGGTGTGTGTGGTGTGTGTGTGTGTGGTGTGGTGTGTGTGTGTGTGTGATATGTGTGAGTGTGTGTGTGTGGTGTGTGTGTGTGGTGTGTGTGTGTGTGGTGTGTGTGTGTGTGTGGGTGTGTGTGTGTATGGTGTGTGGTGTGTGTGGTGTGTGTGTGTGATATGTGTGTGGTGTGTGTGTGGTGTGTGTGTATGGTGTGTGGTGTGTGTGTGGTGTGTGGTGTGTGTGTGTGTGGTGTGTGTGTGTGTGTTAGAGAGAGCCCTGTTGTAGACCCTCCCGCCACCGCAGCTGCAACCTCACCCTTCCCACGTAGGTGCGTGCTTCCCTGGGCAGAGTTCCAGTCCCTTCTGTGTGCCTGTCACCCCGTGGACCCTGGCCCCACCCTGCAGGCCCTGCGTTCCACCATGGACCTCACCTGTAACGGCCACGTGTCCGTCTTTGAGTTTGACATCTTCACAAGGCTCTTCCAGGTCAGAAAGGGCTAAGGCTGGACCTAGCGCCCGTGGGGACCAGGAACCCTGTCTAAGGGAGGAGGGCTGGGTTTGGGCCCCTGAGTCCTGAGGAAGAGAGGGTGTGGTACCGTTTCCTGTGGACAGTGTCCAGGGCCACCGTGGGTGTGGGCAAGATCCTAGATCATAGTCTACCTCCTTGGTCCCTTGGTGACCGTCTCTGTCCCTCCCAGCCGTGGCCCACCCTGCTCAGGAACTGGCAACTCCTGGCTGTCAACCACCCTGGCTACATGGCCTTCTTGACCTACGATGAGGTTCAAACACGCCTGCAGGCCTGCAGGGACAAACCAGGCAGGTGAGCGAGGCTAGGTTCCGTGGGAGGGGCTGGGTAGCTCTGGGGTCCTGGCCAGTGCGTGCGAGAGTCCCTGAGGTTGGGAGAGACCGAGAACTGAGGTTCCTGGGAACCCAGAGGTGGTGACCTCTGCAGCTAGAGGCCTGCGGTGTGCTCTTGTGGTTCCAGCACTTGGGAGGGGGAGGCAGGAAGAGGAGAAGCTCAAGGCCAGACTGAGAGAGAGAGAGAGAGAGAGAGAGAGAGAGAGAGAGAGAGAGAGAGAGAGAGAGAGGAAAGACACCCTAGCCTAGCATGGCGGCACACACCTTTAATCCCGGCACTCGGGAGGCAGAGGCAGGCGGATCTCTGTGAGTTCGAGGCCAGCCTGGTCTACAGAGAGAATTCTAGGACAGTCAGGTGTACACAGAGAAACTCTGTCTCAAAAACAAAAAAAAACATAACAAAAATCCCTGAGTTTTGATGCCCAGCCTCTTTTCCTGGGTTCTCCTGGGTCATCCCTTGGTCCAGCAACTAAAGCAACAGGACCTGGTCCACCAAAGCGTCCTGAAGGCTCTACCCAAGATATGGCCCATTTCTGACAAATGAGAGGCTATACGGCAAACCCATTAAATGGTTTTGATTTGAGACAAGGCTTGCTTCACATAGCCCAGGCTGGCCTCAAACTAGCTAAGGATGACCCTTGAAATCCCAATCATCCTTCCTTTACCTTCTGAATGCTGGCGTTACAGATGTTGCCTCTACACTGAGCCTTTTGCTAGGGTTTATTTGTTTTCTTCGGGGACAGGGTCTCCCAGGCCAGCCTTGAACCTGGGAACCCCTTGCCTCGGCTTCCTGAATGCTGAGATTATAGGTGGGCGGCCTGCTCCTCTAGTCCACCTCTTACATATTGCAAATGTGAGCCCCCGTGGGTTAGAGGAGATGCGCAACTTGACATCGGAGGCCTCACATCCTTTCAAGGCAGGAGCTCGGGGTCGCTGGAGCTCCCCGATGGGCTAGGGACGAGCTGAGGGTGCTATAAGCAGTTACTTCCCAGAGCTCCGCACTCACTGAGAGCTGGGGGAGGGGGAGGGGACTTGTCAGTCTGTCTGTCCCTGTCGCTGTCAGTGCCTCTGTCTCTGTGTCACGCCGGACATGTTGCTCAGTGGTGACATCCTCGTCTGGATGGGCCCCCAGACAAAGTCTCTGCTAGCCCAGGCTAGCCTTGACGCTGCTGTCTGGGGCAGGGAGGGATGGGAAATTTTGAAACTGAAAGAAAGGACCAGCACGGAGGGACACAAGCTTTCATGCACGTTCTCGGGGTCTGCCTGGCTGTACGTGGCCTGGTTTCTCCCTGTGTCAGCCGCATTGCCAGGCGCGACCCTTCCGGATGGCGGGGAATAGCTAAAGGGACAGCCTCGCACCGTTCCAGTCCGCAGCTGCGGATGGGGAGCAAAGCCCCCTCCCCGTGAAATGAGAGGAGGTGAGGATGAGGACTGAGACTGGGCAGACAGCGGGGGTTCCTGGCAGGGGCAGACAGCGGGGGTTCCTGGCAGGGGCAGACAGCGGAGGTTCCTGGCTGGGGCAGACAGCGGGGGTTCCCGCAGGGGCGGCAGGGGCCCCTCTCTCACTCCATCTGTCTTCCCACAGCTACATCTTCCGACCCAGCTGCACCCGCCTGGGGCAGTGGGCTATCGGGTACGTGAGTCCCGATGGAAGCATCCTCCAGACCATTCCTCTCAACAAACCCCTGTTCCAGGTGCTCCTGAAAGGACAGAGGGACGGCATGTGAGTCCCCAGCACGGAGGGAAAAGGCCGTCAGCAAAATCCAGAGTGTGCTGGAGGGGGCAGGGGGCAGAGACAGCAAGCTGCAACGCCGCGGGCGTCCAGCAGGGGGTGGCCGCGACCTCGAGGCCGGGAACGGCCGGTACCGTGCGGCGGGCGGGGTCGCAGAGCTCAGGATTCCTTCTCGGGGACCGGGCGCCGGAGCCTGCGCTCCTGGAGGCCGCATCCCGCTCCGGGGTCGAGACTGGCGGGGCGGGGGCGGGGAGACAGCCAGACTAACGGTTCCCACCTGTAACCTCAGCTGCCGCTAGTTTCCTGCGGGAAGTTGCCCGCGATGGGGAGGGGAGGGCGGGGCAGGGGCCGGCGGCTCTCGGTTCTCCCTGTCACCCGGATCTTATGTGACTTGCGCTGCTGAGGACGGGACCCAGCTAGGCAGATGCTGCCAAGGAGCTGAATGCCTAGCGTGGGATAGAGGCGAGGATGAGCAGCGAGGGACAGACAGACAGACAGCAGACACGCTGCTTCCCTTATTCGCTGGGGTTCTGTCTATAAGATGGCAAAGGCTTGAATGGTCATACACAGAGCTGTGACTCTCGGGGAACGGGCAGGCTCGTGTCGCCCTCGTGAGTGGTCACGTCGCTCTCGTTGCATTATTCAAGGTGCCAGAGGATCCTGAGTTGTGCATTCTAAGCTACATAGTGAGACCTAGTTTCAGCAAGAAAAAGAAAAAAACACGTATAAATCATGCTGCAGATGTAGCTCAGTGGTAGAGCCTCTGTCTAGAAAACCCCAGTGAGGGGCTCGGTGGAGGAGCTCTTGCCTAACATCTTTCAGGGTAGGTTCAACGCTGCAGAATAGCAATATTAATCATCAGAATTACAACCTTCCAGGACTGGCTCTGAAGGGCCATGGGATCCTGGACGGGCAGAGGTTTGGATTCCTTTCTGGGTTCTCAGGCTGGAGGCCAAGGTTCAATGCAGTTTCCCTGAGATGATCACATGGACAGTTCCAGAGACTGGAAGAGCACACTCGATCTGCGGAGTCCCACTGCGGGCTTGTGGCAGGTCCTAACACACACACACACACACACACACATCACACACACACACCACACACACACATACACACCACACACACATACACACCACACACACCACACACACATACACACCACACACACACCACACACACACCACACATACACATACACACATGCACACACACGTGAGCACACACACGTGCGCGCACACATCACATACACACACATGCACACGCACACACCACACACGTCACACACACTCACACACAAACCACACACACAGGCACACCACACATACCACACACACTCACACACACACCACACACAGAGACACACGCGTGTGCAAGCGTACACACACTCATACAAACACACATGCACACACGCGCGCACAAACACACACACACACACGGTAAATGAGGTAGGCAGGTCCTTGGGAGTCCAGCCACTCACACTCCAACTCTGTCCTTCGCAGCTACCTCTACCCTGATGGGAAGAACCACAACCCAGACCTGACTGAGCTGTGCCAGGCAGAGCCCTACCAGCGCATCGAAGTGTCAGAGGTGAGTCTGTAGCTACACCCACTGCCCACTGCCCGCTGCAGCCTCAGCTCAGAGACCTTGAGAGACGGTGTCGGCTTGGGGCTCTGTGACCTCCAGCCATGGCTTCTCGGAGGCTAAGTTCTTCTGCTGGGAGCCACAGCCTCTGCAGCCTGCTTCCCAGGGGTGTTTCTTGGACATGAAATAAAGAGAAGAGCTTCTGAGATCATCAAAACAGCTGATGCAGTTGAGTGTTTATCAGCTCTGAGTCTGAACAGACTCCCAGCAGCAGCAGGAGAAGAGCCAGGATGTTTCTCTTTTAGTGTTCAGGATGGAACCCAGGAACTTGTGCATGCTAGGCAGGGGCTCTACCACTGAGACACACCCCAGCCCCTCACTGGGGGATTCTAGGCAGGGGCTCTACCACTGAGACACACCCCAGCCCCTCACTGGGGGATTCTAGGCAGGGGCTCTAACCACTGAGCCACACCCCAGCCCCTCACTGGGGGATTCTAGGCAGAGGGCTCTACCACTGAGCCACGCCACTATACTTGTTTGTTTGCAACAAGGTTTTTGTTTTGTTTTGTTTTTATGTAGCCCTGGCTGTCTTGGAACTCACTCTGTAGACCAGGCTGGCCTCGAACTCACAGAGATCCGCCTGCCTCTGCCTCCCGAGTGCTGGGATTAAAGGCCTGCGCCACCACCGCCCGACTAAACAAAAGAGTCTTTAAAAGATCAATAGCTAAAACGCTAGCATTCCCAAGAGGAAACAAGTCCAGAAAATGAGTGTCTTGCCCGGGGCTGAAGA